GACAGCAGAACTACTGTGTTCCATTTCCCTATATTAACACACAGCAGAGCAAGAGTCCCACTCCATAGACTCCATAGACTCTGGACTCAGCAAAACAAATAACAGCAGATCGAAAATTGCCCAATTAGCCCTGAAAAAGAAAAGCACTTTCAGCCATTCCTCTGTGTTTGCATCTTCCTTGCTGCGCTTTCTTCCAATTACTAATCAATGTTGCAGACACTCCACAGGCCCAACTTACAGTTACAACTCTTCCAGTGCTACTTGCAAATGTTAACCCTGGGGAAAATGTTCACAAATGGGAATTCCTCCCCTGAACCTGCCCTCTGAAGCTGTCCTTAACCTGCGTGTGTATGACTCAACAGGAAAACTGACTCACCATGGCTAAAGTCTTATAAAATGATTCAGTATTCATAATCATTGGAATATTATTTTTTCTAAGTATTGATGTTGATATACAGATAATCCTTGAATTATTATAGTAATTCTGGTCACAATTATTATCATAGTAATAGTAATTTCTTTCTGAGGTTGAGTGATATGGTCATAAAGCATGTCATATATGTCTGCTTCAGTTAGCACGGGAATTCTGGAATTCTGTACAAGTGCAAGCTGAGCTGGAAGGTAGGGTTAAATGTATCATCAGTTTGGAATCAATGCATTGTCACAAGAGACCCAGGTTCAATCCCCTGTGAATTCATTACCCTTATCTAGTGCCAATTTAGCTTTGATCATTAGCTGATTAGATGTTTGTATTAGAGATAGCAATAACAAACTCTTCTGTGTTTTGAATGTAACAAACTGTCCTGGTTATTTGCATCTGACATATTCCCTAGTACTGCTGGTAAAGGAAAATTTGATGGACCACCTCTTCCCAATTACACCTTCCCAGTCCATCGGATATGGAAGGCAGGGCATATTGCGGGTCCCAACTATCAAGAAAGCACATCTGGTAGGACCTAGGAAAAGGGCTTTCTCTATGGGAGCTCCCTCTCTTTGAATAATATTTCCCCCCGAGATAAATTAGCTCCTTCCCTGTTGCTTTTCTGCAAGGCCTTAAAGACATGGTTCTGTCAGGTGGTCTGGGGATCCTATTCACAACTGATCAAGTGGTCTTTTGATTCTGTTGCTGCCATGGGGTAGGGGCTGGGCCATGGATTATTGTGGATTTTTAACTGTGGACTTTTAAAGTTGTACACCGACCGGGGAGACTGTATGTGAGGCTTAACTTTGTTTAATAAATAAATAAACTTTTGGGACTGGTTGTCCCTTAATTCAGTGTCACTGTAACTTCAGATGGTTGCTGAACAAATGATCTGAAGCCAAGAAATAACTGTACACTGTCTAATTCACTGTCTAATTCACTTACTTCCTCTGACCAGCAAAGTCAGAGATAATAGCAAATAAGATGTTTGCTCAAGATAATAATTATGTTACCTCTAAGCTGAGCCATTTCCTTCCCAAACCAACCAGAATCGAATGAAATGTAACTTACATTCCTAGTCTGTATGAGAATGAAAAATCAGTAGGAATCATTACCATGGAAATTAATAAGTTCAACTGGTTAGTGAAATTTTGTCCAAGCAGGTCCAGTTATATAAAATATTAAACCAACTCCACTCAATAAGTTATTTAATGGGAACACCTAAAATCATTCAGTTGACCTGTTTGTGGATCTAGTTCTCAAAGAAAAGGGGGTAAAGAAAAACAACCCAAATGCCTTAAAAAGGAAGCTACTCCAATATAGAACCCATTGGCAACACAAAATAAACTTCCTACATACTTATGTATTATAGTAGCGGAGCTACCTCTATTCTGATAATCTGATCAATGGGGAGGAATTAGTAATTATCAGGAAAGTTTGATACTACTCTTTCTTAGAATTATGGAGATAGAATTATGGAGTTTAGAGTAAGAGCCAGTTTGGTATACTGGTTAAGCACCAGGCTAGAAACCAGGAGTTCTAGCACTGACTTTCAAAGCCAAATGGGTGACTTTGGGCCATCTAATCTCTCTCAGCTGTAGGGACAAGGTAATGGCAAACAATGCCTTACCAAGAAAATTGCAGGAACTTGTCCAGGCAGTTATCAGGGGTTAATGCACATGCAGACAAAGAAAGGAGTAGATATTTTTTAGTTTTCTAAAAGATGAATCTTGCCAGATAATGTAATTATGTATTGCTAGAATAACTGTGATAATAAAATGATCTGAGTTGGAGGTTAACTTGTGGGTTGAAAATACTATAAAAACAAGTGCTGTATTGGGTCAATTGTTAAATAATCCTACCTGGTATAAAACAGCCCAGTTCCCCCACCCTTCTAGCCAAAGGTGTAAAAAAGATGGATTCTGTTAGTTTCTCACTTGTATCCCTCATAGTTTCTCATATCTGACACAAACATAAAATAATGATTTTTTTTTCTCATGCTACTAAGAAATTTCCCTTTACAATTTACAAGTGCTAGGGTGTTATATTAGAAGTCTTACAAGAATTTTCTCTAAATGGAAAGCTTTTGAATGCAAATATATAGTATTTGCAAAATCAGATTTTGATGGCTGTTATTTTTAAATAAGAATTATTGTTTACCTTCCTTATAAAAACACTTTTTATGACCCTGTAATTCCTTAATTCAGGAAAGAAGCTGGCTCCCCCGCCCCCCCGCTACATATAGCAACAACATCAGTAAACTTTAAAGCTTTTGATTAGATAATAAAAGCAACAACAAAATGTGAATCCAACAAGATGGCATCTGCAGGGGATATGTGATAATTATGTCATGACTTCATCATACAAATGATGTAAATTAGATATTTTAGCTTGTCTTTATATCACATTAATTCATATTACTAGTGCAATGGAATTGTGATGCACATGATATTAACATGGCTTTTGCCAATTGGTCATGTTAGCTGTGATGGCTTTCTTAGACTTTCCAAGCTGTTAATAATACAGGAAGTCCTCGTTTAGTGTCCATAATTGGGATTGGCAGTCAGGTTGTTAAACAAAGAGGTCTCAAAGTGAAGTCACAGTGCAAATGCCTCTTGTAAGAATGAACTGGTGGTTTTATTTTTCTACAGCTCCTGGTCAGATCCATTTCCTTTTCAAACTCCATGCTGACTTATTTCTCCACGCCAAAATAGATCCTATTCGATTTCAGTTATTACGAAGCTGGCATACAGAGTTCTGACCCCTTTAATATAATTTCTTTCCAATACTCTGTGGATTTAAAAAGAATAAGCAGCATGACTAAGCACTATGCTTCCCTCCTGTCTGTGTTTAAAAGACAAATCAGACAGAGTGTGGACTAGCATAAGGAAGACTTCATTGTCCAAGCTGAAGCTGAAAACTGGCTGAGGGCTGGCTTTACTAAAATGTGATAAGATGCTGAAAAGGCCCATTAAAATTTTTCAGTTGAGAAACTATTCCTGGCAAAGGAGCATATCCACCATGACTAAGATGTACAGATGGCATAAGAGAAGATGATCAATAACAATAGGAATTCAAATGTGCCAATGACATCTTTGTCATTCTAAAATAAACTCAAATTGAAATCACTCTTCAAAACTTTAACTCTACATGCCTAGGGATGAAACTTCCCAGACAGAGAAAAGAGAACAAACTCCCATTCCTGACATCCTCATCACTGCATTGTATAATGGCAGGATGCAAAACCAACCCACATGGACCAAATCTGAAATTTCCAACAGCCACATCTCACCACACATAATATAAGCTGTACAAAAATCCTCATCAACTGATACAAAACATATTGCAGCTCAGATGCAAAACATTCTTGCAGCTGAGAAAAGCAGTGTTCAGCTACTTCTCTAGTATAATCAATAAGAACAATTACCCCCCCCCTTTCCCCAAAATTTCAATAAAAAAATTGCACCAGGGAAAAAACAGAAAACAAACACTATAAAGCTATTTGCCAGCTAAAATGTCATAAACTGGTCAGATCCATTCCACCTTCATAATTTAATTCTACAGATCTTGACAAGTGTTAATTTGAGATTTTTTTACGTTTATACCAGGTTGGGAACATGTTGTCCTAGAGAAAACCTATCTATGTATGTGGTTGCTAAAAGCTGACCCTTGTTTATGCCATATCATGAATATTAGGGTCAATAAAACTTTAGGTGGCTAGAGCCATTATTATTTAAAAAAAACTTTTTCACCCAGCTGTTGTGTAGAAAGGTAGCTGATGTTATTGGAGAGAACAGGGACATAATTTTCGAGTCCTTTCCCTTTCATTGTTTTGGGGAGGGAAGGAGAAATTGCATTCCAGGTACTCCTAAACTTACAACCACAATTGAAACCAACTATGCTTCCCTTACTAAGCAAGACATTAAATGAATTTTGGCCCACTGCCTTTGAGGTTTTCTACACTTCTCTAACATAAAAACCACAGGGGGGAAAAAGCTGAAAAAAAAATTATGGGCCACCCAGTATATTATTTGGGCCACTGGCCAATCTACTTTGCCTATGCAAAGACTTAAAACATACTCAGCTCTGCATTGGAGTCTAGTCCTATGCCATATCCAATACAACATGCTCTACAGGGTAAGTTAAAGACCTGGCATCTGCACCACATGATTTTTTGTGAGTCATCGTATTTGAAGCCAGGTTGTTCAGTTTGCCTGTAACTGAAAGTATCGTGTAAACACAGAAGATGGTTTAATTCAATACACCAATTAAGCACGTTGTGTGAATCTAGTCCTAGTTTATTGCTGATGAAGATCTATTGCTTTTAATGTTGTTCTTGTTAGGAATAATAATGCTTTGATAAGTACGGAAATTGGTGGGGTTTGAAATCTATTAGTTCCCTTTCAAGAATTAGCCTGATACATTATAATCACATTATTATACTGCTGATGGGCAAAGGCTTTTCTCTGAATAGCACTTTCTTCCATAAAATATCCCAAGTAGGATTACATTTACAGAATCAATGAGCCATACCTGGCTGATCAAAACTACCATAACTGGGAGGCAAATTATTTCCTACCTCCAATCTGTCCGTCCGCATTAGCTTCTGTGCTGCTGCTGCAGCAGCAGCAGGAACTGGCACACCAGGATTGCCTGCAACCAGCATTGGTGCTGTTGGCAAGATCTCTGCTGGGACCAAGCCAGGAGAAACTGGCCCCAAATAGGGGTTAAAGGCTGTTGAAGCATTGGTGGCTAGGCTTGGTGCAACTGAAAACATTGGCTGGTAAAAGAGAAAAGAGAGAGAGAGCAAGATAGTCAAATATAAATAGTAGTCCAAAAAACATTTATACATTAAATCATTTTGAAATAATGCAACATTTATGCATGCAGACAATGGTGTTAACTGACCCTCTCACAAATGGAAGGAGCTTCCTGTTCAAGGAAGACATTTGAGCCAGCAACTGATCCCAGGAACTGTAAGGGAAGGAGATAAAGTTTGCATACTACCCCTGTTCTAAACAATCAAGTCATGTTTCCACAGTAGGTGTGCAAGAACTGGTTCAGAAAGGGGCAATCAGAAGGGTGCCTCCTTCTCTTGGTAAAGGCATCAAACTCATGCCAAGGCACAGGAAAACTATCCGCTTGACCTTCCTTTGGAAAAATCTACAATATGTATGATTCCGGCTGCTAGAATTGTATTTATCCTATGTTTATCCTAAAGCTGTCTTAAATTTTTCAATTTAAATTCTCATACTTTTCTACTGTGAAAAAGTTGGTTTTTTGGGGGGGGGGCTCTTTCTACTTTATTTTTAAAGTATTTCAGCATTTTATTTGAATTTGTTTTGGTGATGCTTTACTTTTGAAAATGTTAGAGGGCACTACAGAGTGCTTTTTGTCCCTCTCAAATCTCCTTGGCAGCCCACACTTTCCAATCAGTAAATGCCCAGTTGCAGAAGATGCTTTCTAATGTTGTACTTTATCTACTGGTAATAGAAATGTGACAAGCACAGATGACAGTACAAGAAGAAACACAAAGCATTTACAGAGCCTGAAATTTCTGTCGTTAAGTCATGATGGTCCATGTGATCAGCCTGATTTTACAAGCTTTTTTTTTTTTTTGCGGTTGTGGTGGTGAAGCAAACACCATGACCATAAAGAGAACACTGCATTCGTTAAGCAAATCAATGCATTGTGTGGGCATTTTTTGCTGGAAACTGGCCTTTTCAGCCAGTTTCCTGCAAGAAAACCCATAGTAAACATTGCCACATGACTGTGGGATGCTGCAACTGGCCATAAAGATGAGCCAGTTGCTAAGTATTCAAAATGTGGTGATGTAACTTTGTGTGTGTATGCGTGTGTGCCACCAGAACTCTAGAATCAGGACATAAGTACCTTTGGGGGATCCATCATAACTTCTAATGGTTGCTAAGTGAGGACTACTTATACATACATCATCTTAGTATTTTAAAACAAGAACACAACATTTCACCTTTAAGAATTTCTTGAATTTTTTTTCTCTCCCCTCCCCCCCAATCAAACTGAAGGCTTTCACAAAAGGCACGATAATTTTTATATGTGACATTAATTGCCTCAGCCTCAACTGCAGGAGATGAAGGCAACACTCGTTTCTTGTTAAGCTTTTAGATATACTAATTAGTAGTCAATTGATGGAACTGGACAGGGACCGTTCATATTGCACCAATATAAGTCTTACAGCAATTACAAAAGAACAACATTTTTATTCTTTTCACAGAGCAATTAAATTGTAAGATACACATGTTAAAATGGCACCTTTCAAAAGGTCTTAAAATTCTTTAATAAAAGCTATTTATAGTATTATTTGTATGTAACCTCATAATAATGACAGTTTTTAATTGTATTTTACTATCAGTGTTGCAAACTAAAACTGTATGAAGTTGCTGTAGACTGTATACATTGAGGCCACTACTACTATTCAAATTAATCTTAAAGACAGAGAGAGCATAACAAAGACAAACAAGGGAAAATTTTCTTTCCTAATCTCTATTCTACACAGACTGGATAATCTAATGTAGGAATTAGAAGTACTTTATTGTTTTGATTTATATCCCACCTTTATACCCAAGTGAAATTATCAAAGTGGGTTAAAAGTTTCAAACATACACAACACAAGGTGAAATCGTTCAAATGTTCCAGATAATTTATACAGTCAGTGGATAAGATTTAGCTCACAAAGCAGTCTGCATTCCAAAGTTGGATGATAACAAAGAAAGTTTAACCTTTGCCTTTCTATTACAGGGACTTGGCCCTTGTATTTCATTACGAAAAAGTGATCCATCACAAGTCTTAAAAAGCTCTGGCCAGCATGGTAGGCTCCCTGTCTGTCTCCCAGTTGCTTTTTGAAAATGGGACAACTATGACCTGGATGACTGAGAATCTCAACAGACATAAGTAATCTGCTGTTCTCTAGATGCATTGGCTCTTTGTTTCCACAAATGCCACCTAATTCCTTAGAATTATGGCATCTGAATTTAAATGCATCTGGGGAGAACTAGGTTCAACAAAGCTGCTCTAGAGTTAAAAAGATATCCTTGAAGTAACAAACTTTTTTTTTCTAAGAATGTAAACTTCGTCCTTGACTTATGACAATTGGGACCAAAATTTCCACTGTTAGAAAAGGCAGTTGTTAAGTGAGTCACACCCAATTTTACAACCTTTTTTCCATGCTTGTTAAGCAAATCACTTGCAGTTATTAAATTGAGCGAATCTGGCTTTCCCCTTTGACTTTGCTTGTTGGAAGCTGGATAGGAAGGTCAGGTGATCACATGACCCTGGGATGCTGCAACCATCTTTAATACATGCCAAATGCCAACAAATTTTGATCATGTGACCATAGAGACCGTAGAGCTCAATGGTTGTAAGTGCAAGTACTGGTTGTAAGTAACTTTTTCCAGTGCCTTTTATCTTCAGTCACAAAATGAATGTTTATAAGTTGAGGACTACCTGTAAGTTACAACTTAGTCCTCAATGTCTCTGGTTGGCAGACAAATTTTCTGGTCTATTTTCCCCTGGTTAGTTTTGCATACTTCTTCATTAGAGTTTTTTTTAATCCTCTTTTCAGAGGATTAAGAAGACTTAAAAACAATTCTACATGAAAATTACGTATGTGTACACATGAGATATATGAGCACACAGACACACATATAGATTTGGTGCTGAAGGCTACAGTCTTGCCAAATTCAAATCCAAAAAATAAGTAAATAAGTCTTTATATAATATCAGGTGAGCTCGTTTTGAAATGTAAATTTAATACCATTTCAGGACTGTCCTATACCCATTCCCTTTACAACTCTTAAGAACTTCTGAATATACTAGGTAAAGGTTCCCCTCGCACACACATGCTAGTCATTTCCGATTCTAGGGGGCAGTGCTCATCTCCGTTACAAAGCCAAAAAGCCAGCGCTGTCTGAAGACATCTCCATGGTCATGTGGCCGCCATGACTATAAGCTGAAGGCGCATGGAATGCTGTTACCTTCCCACCAAGTGGTCCCTATTTTTCTACTTGCATTTTTACATGCTTTTGAACTGCTAGGTTGGCAGAAGCTGGGACAAGTAATGGGAGTTTACTCCGTTACGTGGTGCTAGGGATTTGAACTGCCGAACTGCCAAACGTTCTGATTGACAAGCTCAACGTCTTAGCCACTGAGCGTCCCTTCATGACTAGGGTTGATCAAATGATTGCTACTGTTCACAACTCAATAAATAAACAATGATGTATATTTTATATTTAGAAATAATCAGAACTAATCTCTGAAGAAAGGTGTGGACTGTACTTTCTATGGAAGATCTCACAGCAAGGGAATTATTAAGAGCTAAATTATTAAGAGCTTTTAGAGAAAAGAAATACGAGCAAATAAAGCCATTGTTTTGTGATAACCTAATTGTCCAGGGAAAATGTTTTCTAAAAATTAATAATTATTTATCAAGAATGTCCCACATTCTTGGCAGTCTCATCTCCTTCCCGTTCTTATTAGTGAAACATTATTGTCTCAAATCCTGTAATATGTAAATGCATTAAAGAAATGAGGCCCAGTGCTCAAATATGCTGATGCCAACCGGGATCAAGAATAATGATACAGGTAGCTAGGGCCTTATCAGAGAAGTTGTCATAAAACCAGTTTGGTATAGTGCTTAAGGTGCTGGCATACAAGCCAGGTGGCTGAGTTCTAGTCTTGACTTAGGCATGAAAAACTGGTTGGATGTTAACACTCTGAGTTACTTATAAAGTAATAAAAACAGGATAAAAATCTAATAAAGGTAAAGGTTTCCCCTGTCCAGTTGTGTCCAACTCAAGGGGCCATGCTCATCTCCATCTCTTAGCAGAGGGAGCCAGTGTTGTCCAAAGACATTTCTGTAGTCGTGTGGCCAACATGATTATATAATGGATTTGCTTGCTGTTAAAAGATGCTTTCTAACTATCCGTAGTCTTTAACTTATGACTAGAATTGTGATCAGAATTTCTATCACTAAGCAATGAGTTCTTAAATGAGCCATCATGTGACTGTGACCAATTTTACAAAAAAAATTTTTTTTTTTTGCTGCAGTTGTTATGCAGCTTTGGCTCTCTCATTGACTTTGTCTAAAGTTGGCTAGAAAGATCAGAAATAATGATGTGATACCGGGATGCTACAACTATCATAAATACACCCAAATTGCAATCATGTGACTTTAGGCATGGTGCATGGTCATAAGTGTGACTCTCAAGTCACTTTTTACAGTAAATAGTTGCTAAACAAATGGTCTTATGTCAAAAACTACCTATAAGATCAAACTGTTTCCTCCTCCTCCCATCCTCGTAACCACTTTCTTTCCTGCCCAAGAGGATGAAAATAGTGAACAGACATAGGGGAAAAAAGAGATGGAGTAAAGGAAGAAGAATGCACTATGTGGAGGAAAGAATTGTGTATACTGGACTTCTTGCTGTAGTAAAGAACTGTACGTAAGTACTTGTTACTTGTAAAGATGTTTATTGCGCCAGTAAAACATTTGCTATGACTGGAGAGAAAGGGACTGAGGTTTATTAGTTTCTTGGGAAGGGCACTCTGCTCTCCTTGGAAGTACTTTATGTATTCCTACTGATTAATATTAAATATTATTATCTACTGGGGCTAAGCTACAAATCTCTGAATGTATGTAGGAAACATCTATTACTAAATGTAACCATCAAACATTTAAGAAGGAAGCATTTTTCACAGTAGCTCGTTTTTTATTTCAACAAACCAGTAACAAAAGATGGAAAA